TAAAAACCAAAACAATAACCATACTAAAAAGAAAAAATTCAGTCTCTTAGTTTTACAAAACCATGGTTAATTGCTTTGAACAGGTTTTCTAATTAATGGTTGCCAACACGAGTTCTATAGATCCGAAGACAAATAATCGTATTCCTTTCAATAGTTTTAACTAACAAAAGTGTTGATAGTTTTTCATTCAGTTCATTCTTTTGCCAAAAATACTCAATCTCATATCAGCCTTTATTATTGGTGCCACTTCATATACTTGTTATTGTTATTGGTAAAAATTTACATTTTACCAAACAAATTAAACAAACAAAGGGCTAAGAGCAGTACATAAAACTTGGAAATTTAGGCAGAAAACATAAGAAAATATTTTGAATTAATGCATACCTTTTCTATGAACATCTTTTGTATGGTGCTATTAAGGTTGCCCTCCCAAAACTCTTCATCTCCATCTTTTGTCAACTTCACCTTTTGCAATTTTTTAGGGCTACTGCATTCCCCGCGAGAGAAGATCTGCATATGTGGGCAACTCACAATTACTTCTTCCAAAGATAAGAATTCAAAGTTGCAACTTCCCGAGCAAAAGCTTGCCAATCTTGGTAGAACACAAAGTTGCAAATACTTGAGTTGGCTAAAGACAATGCCATCCTTCACTTCATCATCCACACACGCCATAATTTCCTTTAACATATCACATTCACTTATACTCATTCTTGTGAGTTGCACCATGCTTTTGGCTGTTGAGTAATCAATTAAATATATGAGTTCATGACATGCAGTTACTTCCAAAGTTGTCAAATTCTTGAAAGATACAAAGGATGGCACTAAATTCTTTAATTTGCTACACCGTAGCACTTCAAGAATATTCAGGTTAGAGAAAACTGATTCCAAATTTGATTCTTCCTTCCTGAGACATGTTAACTCGTGAAGTTCAGACAACCCTGATCCACTTAATTGAGTAAATGCAAGTGCAGGTTTTTCCACACCACCAAGTCCTTGGCATTTGAATATATCATGAAAGGAAGCTCCACTCACAACAAGCTTTTCAAGATTCGGAGCCTGAAACAGAAAAGGCTGGACAACTAATTGCCGAGGCAAGTTGCTGAGTTCAAGAACTTTTAATTTGAGAAAATAATCCCCTGGAATATGCTGCCCATGCCATATCTCTTTCATATTACCATTCCAATCCAATCTCATTTCTTCTAGACTGGGGAATGTAGCCTGAAATATGGAAATAAAAAGGTATTAAAATATGAATAAAAGAAGAAGGATGCAAATATGGTTATGGGATATAAAAAATTTTTATTTATGGAAAATATTATCTCTATAAATTAAAAAAAAAAAAATAGTTTGGTTTTCTTAAGCAGCCCATAAATAGAAAAAGCAGAGTATTATAGATTATGCTTATGATTACGTTCAGACAGGAGAAAAGCTTTACTTTGATGCAAATGCATCGTACACATGAGCAAACATTTATTGAATTATTGTTTAGAGCTCTTACCTTGCTTGTCCAGAAAAGAGAAACTTCGAGTTGATCATCTCCATTTGTTCTTGGGAAGCTTGAGAGTTCTGAAGCAAATATCTGTACTTGTTCACATCCATACACTGTCAATTTTTTCAATGATGGCCATTCAATAGTATGCATTTGATGACACAAGGCCTTCAGTTTGGGCAGAAAATAAAGGTCTAGCTGCGTCAATTTTGGAAACACAAACTTTACAACAGATTCCATCAAAGTTGGTGGCGTGAATTTTTGAGTTTGTGATTGGCCAGCATCAAGCCCTTCAGACAATATCTCTTCAAGTGAATTACAGTTCCGTATCTCTAACTTATCTAGTCTCTGAAGCCTTTCCAGCATACTAAATGGGAAAATATTTAGTAGCTTGTTACATGAATTCACACTAAGATAATTTAGTTGGCAAAAAGAACTTGCATCAGGTTGGTTGTCCCATATCTTGTCCAAGTTTCTCATATATTTAATCATTAGTTGCTCGAGTTTGGGGAATATCACCTAAAAATTTAACAAATTGTATTTAAAAAAAAAACTAAACAGAATTAGAGAGATAACAGAATGAAAAATTTTTGGAATCTAATTTTCAAAAAAATGTAAAACTTTATGAGGCGATCCATGAAATAGTATTACCAGACATTAATAAGTGAAAAATAAAGAAAAACCAGATAGATGAAATTACCTTCATGTCAAATAGAGGTGGACAAGTGTCCAAACTAGAGCTTGATGAGATGAACTTCTTTAATACAGGGCAGCTCTCGATCAAAAGTTTCGAAAGACAGGGGAATTCGATGTAATTCCCATGGCAGAATCTTTCGAGTTTTGGAAGGCTTTTTATCTCTAGAATCCTCAATTGATGGAAAATCAAACTCCCATTTTCTGCTTCATTCTCTGTAAAAATAACCTTTCCCATCTTCCTGCATCCCTCTATTTCAAGGTGTTCAAGCATCACCACATCTCTAGCCATAGAAGATGTGAATAGATATTCCAAATTATCACAGTGCTTAATGATCAACTTCGTCAATTTCTTAATATAAGAAGATGTCATCGAAGTATGCCATATGATTTCAACATTAATCCAAGATAATTGCAACTCCTCTAATTTTG